TATTTTTTGGTTAAATTTTTAAAAAAAAAAAAAAAAAAAAAGAACCAGTTAGGTTTTTTTAAAAAAAAAAAAAAAAAAAAAAAAAAAGTTTGCAGCATTTTTCAAAATGGCAGCTTTGCAACAATATTAAATCCGACAGGCTTACTGGTGCATCTCTTCTGTTTTTTTTTTGTTTTTTTTACATTTTGTCTGTTGCTAAACGTTGCATCTTAATTATCATGAATCCTCCAGCAGGAACTGTCCAACAGTCCCTCAAAGACATTATTGTGCATTTTATTGCCCTCTCTGTGGCCCTCTGTGTGCCGCTCTCTGTGGCCAGCCCTCAGGTCTGCTTGACCAGCCATGTGTGCAGAGATTCCCCCCACTGATGACCGGCTCAGCCAGGCGCAGTGGGAATGCAATAACAGCCTCCTCATAAAGACGAGTCACTCGCCTCTATCAGCTGCGAGGCTCATCGCAGCTCTATAGATAATAAAACCCTTGCGAGCTGGGGCGGGGAGAGCAGAGCACCGGAAGCAATCTGCCATTCATAAGATGTGCACACAGGAAGCAGCGCCGAGATACACAGAGCAAACTCGAATGCACGCCGTCCACCACTTTATCCCCTCAGACCGCTCGGCGTAAACAAGCCGCGGCGCCACGGACGGCTGAGGCTACCTCACGGTTCGCGATGCCCCGAGCCGAGCGAAGCACTTTAGAGCGGCGTTACGACGCTCGTGTCAACAGCGCAGGGGAGAGAGAGAGAGAGAGAGAAAGAGAGAGAGAGAGAGAGAGAGAGAGAAAGAGAGAGAGAGACCTGCGGATAATAACTCGGGAGACAAAGGCTGGAGAGGCGATCCTCGAGCGTAATTACCACAACACAAACAACAGGGGATTACACGGCCCTTTGCCGAAACCTCAAGCTTCGGAGACGAGCACAAAAACTCTTGTCGAAGGGCTTGTGTCCCATTGAGCCCGGCTCTAATTATGGGATAAACAGGCTTATCCTGAGAACGGCGTGGCGTATAGATGTTATCTAACCCTGGGTGAAGACCTTGACGGTGAGAGTTGGGTTACTAAAAAAAAAAAAAAAAAAAAAAAAAAAAAAAAACCCACTAAAGCACAACTCGATCTGTCCTCCAGGTATCCGGGATATTTTTTTTTTTTTCTGGGATTGTCTTTTTCAAAAGGTTCAGGCTCGTTAACCTGCGAGGACTTACAGTTCCCTCAGCCTCTGGCAGAACTTCCATCCGTCAGGGTTGATGCGGGCTATGGAGTTGTTGCTGAGGAAGAGCTGCGTGAGGGAGCTCAGGCCGTACAGGGAGCCGCTGTTCACCTCCGTCAGGTTGTTGTACTCCAGGTGCCTGCAGGAAGTACATTTTAGGAGAAAACAAAAAACAACAGCAGTGAGCATGTCCTCTGCAGCAGGTCCGAGCATTCCTTGTCGAGGAAATGCAAATTTGTTTAACTCACAGGACTTTCATTTTGGACAGGTTCCAGAAGGCGCCGTCAGTCAGTTTGCCGATGGTGTTCCTCTGCAGTTTCAGCACCTCCAGACTGGACAGACCCTGGAAGGTCAGACCCTCGATCTGAAGGATCCGGTTCCTGTTCAGCTCCCTGCAGGGTGGACGGACAGACACGGCACCTCTAGTACATCACACACAGTAAACATTTTAAATCAGAGAAACAGCCTGGAGTTAGGCGATTAATTACTGGTTTTTGAAGATTTCATTTTGGGGGGGAAAAAAATCAGAATTTGTTATTTTCCTTTTCTTCCAATGAACTCCTCGTGTTTTTGTATTTCAGAGTGATGTCAGAAAAAGGACAGCCACTGTGTTTGACACACCTGTTTTACAACTTCTATTTATAAGGTCGCTGAATTCAGGTCAACTCTACGTCCTTATTAAAGCTGTAATATTAGTAAAATGAAGTAGTAATTTTATGAGAGCTCCTACACAAAAAAACAACAAAAAGTTCAACTGAGGGACGTTGAGCATCTTGTTAAGTTAGTATGAGTTTTACAGATAATACTTAATAGAAATACTTAATCTTTTGACACCACGATTGTGTGAACAAGTGTCTATTTCGAAGAAAAATCACACAGAACGGGCTGGTTATGTCAGATTTCAATAACAAGAAGCTTTTTTTCATTAAAATAACTTTTTTTTCTCCTAATTTTAAGACGTTTTTCCTGGTAAAATTGTCTCTTAATTCTGCTAATTTTTTTATTTTACTCTTATAATTAAACAAATATTTTCGTAGCCTCGCCCTAATACTCTGTTGTATAACTCACAGAAGGGATGATTGAAATAAAAACTGAAAATATTTTCTGTCATTTGAAATGTAGTTTTGTAGCAAAAACAGCACAAAAAAAAAAATCAGAAAATCAGATTTTATTTCTAAGCCATATCGCTCAGCCCTATAACAACCTTATTTTTCTCATTTTTTTCTCTGTCTTTATTCTGAACAGGCATTCAACACAACCAGTTTGAACCACCGAATCCACCTGGTGACATCGAGAGACAAGACTTACTTCTGAACTTAGCTGTAATAAATAAAGTTGACAAAAAAAAAACACAGCATCAGATGCAGAAACTACACGTGGTCTCCTCTTGTATGCAACATTAAACTGTGCAGGTGCTGCGTTTGAAGGCTTTAAAAGCCCCCAGCGTTTCCGGAGACAAACATCCATGCAGGTTCTTTTATGTCTCGCATGCATCACCGCCAGCATCTGGAGATACAGTGTCACCCGGACCACCTGTCCAACAAAAGGCACCTGAGGAACCCCGGGGTGGGACTCCCATTACACGAGCGGCTCCGGTCTCCAGAGTGAAGGCGTTGAGCAACGAAATGGGGTCGTTACGCTGGAGGGAAGTCGGACGAAGATAATGGACCACGGCGCTGGGATTGAGCTAACCACTTTGGGGATATGGAGGAAGGCAGTAAATCACTAATAATACAACTCTGGTGTTTACCTTGTCAGGCCTTATCCACTCCTGGAGGTATAGCTCACACTAACAGCGTTCTAAATGTTAAACACACAGCGCTCAATCAACAGACACCAGGAAGCCACTCCTCGACCCAAACTCTTAAATCCTCTCGGTTCTCTCAAGTCTCCCAAAGATACACAAGGGAAGCGCCATTCGTTTCCCGGCCTGACTGTGGAGGTGAACCGGTCACGCAGATTTAAACACCTTTCAACGCACAAACCGTGATTTAAAAAAAAGAGAGAAAAAGAGAGAGAGAGAGAGAGAGAGAGAGAGAGAGAGAGAGAGAGCGGTACTCACAGCTGGGTGAGTCTCGGGAGCTGGAAGGCTCGGATCGGGATCTGGCTGATGCGGTTTCGGCTCAGTCTCAGGACCTGCAGCGTTGAACCCAGGTGATCCAGCGCTCCGAGTTGCAGCGTGCTGATCTTGTTGTTGCTCAGGTATCTGAAAAGAGAACAAAGATTTACAACAAGCCATGGCGGCCAGCAGTCTCTTGCATTCTGATAAAAACGCACACAAAAAAAAAACAGAACCGTCGGCCTCACGCGGTACTTACAGGTCTCTGATTTGAAGTCCGGAGGGAAAGCCGTCCCCCCGCAGGTCGGTAATGTCGTTATTGCTCAGGTCCAACGTTTCCACGGAAACCAGCTCTGTGGTTCGGCTGCCATTGATAGTGCGGATCTTGTTATGATGTCTGAAAAAAAAACAAAAAGGAAAACCTTTACAATCGGGTGTGTTATGAAAATTACTTTGCTTAACCCACGGCTAACAAATCAGTCAAGGCACTCCAATCCGCTCCAAGTTCCTTAAGCCCACTTAAGGCACGGCGAGAGCAGGGTACACAGAACCAAGTGGCCACAAACCGAGTCCTTTAAGAGCTCCCAAGCAGAAGCCGGCCTTCTGTAAACAACTCCAAGGACACAGAAGAGGCGGCCACCGAACGTGTGATGAAATGTACTGATGGCAGCATGTTTTTGGACGCAGGGAAGTACGAGGACATGGTCTGGCCTTTTAAAGCGGACCCCAACAAATGTAAGCTGGCAACTGAGATGGCAGGAAAACTAAAGCGAAGGACCACAGTGGAGATTAGCGACACGGAAACGTTCCGCCTGGCTTGCCGTATGTTTGGTCACGCCGCATGTGTCTGATGGAGACGTGTTTCAGCCATGTTTGGGGGTTTTGTAAGGAACGATGGGGCTCATGTCTGCGTTCCAACAACTCAAATTTAAGAATTTTTAAAAACCATTACGAACGGAATTTGAGGCCAATATCAAGAGAAATGTAGAAACTTTGTCCAGCCAAGTGGTGATGAATTTGCAGTTACTGAAGATGGATGCATAAAGCTAGCTAGCTAGCTACCATTGTACGTCACCAGTGAATAAACTCTGGCCTCAGTTACTTGCGCGGTCTTGTAGCATGAGAGTCCCGCAAGTTGAGTTATTCAAAATGGAGTGTTTTTGTTGTTAGTTTGCGCTTTTGATTTATGAAACTCCTAACTGACTGTTCTTCCTGTCTGAGACCATTAATTAATATTTTTGGAAGGGCAATTTTCTGTTTATAGAGACTTCATGATTTTATTNTCNGNTTATATTGTATTTAGGTTTTTACATCCGTTTAACTTATTGTTTTTGGCTGTTTTGCTTACGTGTCATGTCTATTTAAAAAGTCTTCCGTTTCCAGTGTCACGTGTTCTTTAAAAATTACAGTGACACTATCATTATATTAGTCGGAAATCATCTCAAGATGACAATATTATTGTTTATTGCTAAAATTTCAGTGACAATTTATCGTCAGGCAAGATTTGTTATTTTGACAGGCCTAGAATCAAATGCAAATAGACAGCATTGAATATCTAACCAATTCCCATCATATATAGAGATATAAGTAATTACATAGTAAGGAAATATCTACTTGCAAACGTCATAATGATGATGGCTGGTGTGTGTAAGTTTGTGTGTGTCAAAATGCAACAGAGAGCAGGTGCTCCCTAAGGAAAACTCATAAAAACAAAGCTAGTCCCTACTTCCTCTCTGGCTCTCTACCAGCAGATGTACACACACCATCAGCCACACACACTTTCTGGTGTGCGTGAGTGTGTGTGTGTGGGGGTGTGTGTGTGTGGGGCCACATCATAGTGGCCCACCTGAATAAACAGTGGCAGAAATGGTTAAGGATGAGCACCCATGTGCAAACACACATACACACACACGCACACGCATGCACACACATACACACAGGGGACAGAGCTATGGACAGTGGCTACAGTGAGCCAATGCCGCAAAAAAAGGAGGGAAGGACTGGCGAAGAAGAAAAGGAGGAGGGGGGAGGCGCTGAGGGGTGAGGTGGGGTCAACAGCTGGTGACCTCTTGCTGGGAAAAACAGATCAGTCTCAAACTCTCATCTCTCTCTCTCTCTCTCTCTCCACATTCATTCCCAAAGCCGGGTTCCCAGCTGTGTGTTAGAGACAGATAGCGTTTGAAGTCCACGTCGCTACAATGGTGGCGTTTAAAAAACAAAACAAAAGAAAACGGTTCTCATACGGCCGCTGACGTCTGCGATAAAGAGGAAGCCCGGTTACCTCTCGTTCTCCTTTGATGTCCGAGGCTCTCACTCGCCCCGATTTCTCTTAATTCCAAATCTCATTATTACCCTCTGACCGCCTGATTAGCATTCGGCCGGCTCATTCTGACACTCCTTTTGATGTGCGGAGAGAGCGTTACACTAGCAGCGCTGCCCTCCCGCTCTCCAGCCGCACCTTTGAGGTCCGCCGTTTGGGCAGTAACGTTCGGTTTGATGTCGGCGCTCTGGACAAAAGGAGAATTATTTGAAAATCAGATCATCCGTTTGATTTTTATCCCAAGCTGCTCTAAAGCGCCTCTTTGAAGCCGACTGCAGACATAGAGACAGTTTGTGCTGCTCCGCTGTCACTTTGACACTGTGTTTTTAAAACTTTTTGTTGCTTCTCTCTCTTTCCCTCCCCGTCTCCCCCTGTGCCACCCTGCTGTGGCATTCTGGGAGTCTGCGGGACCTCAATAGGCCTGCCAAACGCATTGTGGGAACTGAGAGCCTGGCATCTGGTGTGTAGATGGCTCGGCGTTAGTTCCTCGGTCGAGTCGAGCAAGCTTGTTTATTTTATGGATCTGTGCCCGGACAAGGTACGGGGTTGTTTACTAGCCTCGAGGTGTACCAGGGTTCTTAAAAGATCCGGTTTGGAAAAATTTCACGCTGTTCCAAATGTTCACTCTGAAGTTGGGGTGGGTGATATTTGTAAGTAATGTGTTACTATAGTGCTAACGATGAAAACTACTTCTTACTTCTTTTTTATGTCTCAGACCCACCATGCTTTCTGTCAAAGCTGCCAAATCAGGACACAAAAATGAAAAAGGTATTTATATAAAGTTTTAACACTATGAATATACATTTTTCATGAATTAAGTGCCGTAGATAATTATGTTACTAAGAAGGTTTGGAGGTTGGAGGAATGATGACTTATGCAATTTTATTTTATTTTTTAAAGAAAGAAATCATTCTTGTTTTCAATCTTAGTCATCAAACTTTGGAAGAACAAAAGTGAAACAGCTAATTTTCCCTTCCTGAAACGGTAAGAAAGAGCCTCCCGTAAACGTTCAGACTATCAAACTCTGGGCGCCTGGGAGGCCGTCACACCGTCGGACCATCAGACGTTAGCGACCGCATATGTGCCGCTCTCTGTCTTTTTGGAGAGTTTGCCGTTGCATGAATTTGTCTGAAGGCGGGATGTTCTGTTCGTTTTGTCACATGAGTGTCAGCCACCGTCTCACTCAGACTTGCAGTCAGACGACATTCCAGACAACCTCCGGCCAGGGGAAAAAAAAAAAAAAAAAAAAAAAGACACCGGCACACAAATGTTCTCTCTCTCTCTCCAGCTGGCTCGGTCGGTGCCGAGCTCGTTTGCGCTGGGTCTGCTTTCAGAAATAAACGGCTGACCCTGGTTTCACTTCATTCCTCCGCCTCTCTGCGCTCTCCTCTGGACTACCTCACCGCTTCCCCTAATCTCGCCTCTTTCGACATGTAATGATGTCACCCTTGATCTGACACCGTTCAAATCCCTCATCCCCCTCGCTGCCTCCACGTTTTCTCCTGCCTTCCTCCTCCCCCTCGCTCGCTGTTGCCCGTTTTACTGTAAGCCGTGTGACTGACAGCTGCAGCTGCGCAGCGCGTCGGCGGGCCCTTCGCTTCAGCTGCGTAGCTTTGTAAAAATCTGACCCTCCCTCCGGCCTCCACTCCCATCAGGACAGCAGCCTTTCCTCCCCAGCAACAGGCTTCGAGTCAGGCCAAAAAAAGACAGACCCCGGCCCTTTTGGACGAGCTTCCACTTTCCACTCTTCGCGGGGGAAGTAAAAGGTGAACTCACTCCGGTCTGTTTTGGATCAGAAGCAAAAGGATCGACACAAAACTAAACATCAACAAAACAAAACAAAACAAGAGAGACACCTTTTTATTGAGTTATTACAGTCGGCGTTGCCTAATCTAACTCAAACTCCCCCCTTCTTCTAAACCAACTACGGCTCACAGAAATATTCTGACCACATCGGTGCATCATGATGAATTCTGAGAAGCAGGCAGATGACACACAAGGGAGAGGCGAGTGTGTGACTCCCACAAAAGCTCGGCGCGGAAAAACGATACGCCGATGATCAAACATGACACGGAGCAGCAGCTGTGCGCTTTACTAGCGAGCGGGCAGCCGGCGCGCTGCAAACGTGTGAACGAAGCTAACGGCTAGCAGTGAATGAGCTCGAGTGAAATCTCTGCTGAGATTGTAGTGAAAATGATTTTGTTGTTGCCGTTGTTGAAAGAAGACAGCTGATGTGTGGCATTCTAAAACATGTGTTAGAGGCTAGCATAGTTAGCATTAATAGCTTTCTTAGCCACACCTTAACTCTATAGTTATCATAATGGATGCCTGCATTTCCAAATCTGGCATGTTTTATGATCGGTATTTTAAGCTCAAACGGATAAAATAACTTTTCGCTTATACTTTATAGTTGCAGTATGTGGCATTTACAAACAATACGTTTTTTTTATACTTTGTCATGACAGCATAATATGAGACAGCTGATCCGTGAAAAACTAAATCAAGCTCTTTTTCCTTCTGTCCGAAACCACCAGTCAGAGCCTTAGCGCCGTGAGTCAGCTCTCTGCTATGCTGTAGCTAGTCCTCCACAACGTAGCCTGACATGACTGCTAGTTAGCATGAGCCAGCGCGTACACAAGCCTAATTAACTGCACTAAAACACTCCTCTTGGCCCTGATTGGTTGTTTCTAGCAGAGCGGTGTAATCTTCAGGCAGGCATAGCAGCACAGGGAGGCGGTGGAAGAGCTTGATTTTTTTTCACAGATGTTATGTCTCATACCATAACAGCATATTGACAGTTTAAACAAATATGGGGAAAATACTTTATATATATATATATATATATAAAAGTTCCATACAGCAGCTTTAAGCCTTTCTGTTATCTGGTGAAAGTCTCGTTCTCTGCCTGAATGAACATCAGACATGTCATAAAAATGACTGTTTCCATACATCTACGCTTCTTTTGAGTGAAACAAAAAAAACCTTTGACTTCTTCACCCAGTTAAAGCGTCTCCCCAAAGAAGATTAACGTTTATGCAACCTAGTAGAGCTCAAATAAGACAAATTCACATAAAGAAATGATCTCATGGTGCCCAACAGACGCTCACCAGTCAGATCCAGTCATGCATTAAACTACCCCATATTGGTAACCCACTGATTTTCAGTAAATCATTATAGTTTATCATTTTCAGATTTTCAAAGCTTGACTCTAAACGTCTGCCTAAGTTTTTAAGATTTAAACACACAGGCGGTTTGTCTCAGTGACCATTTTAAGCCTCGCAGAATCTGCTAGCTTTAGCTAAATCCCGCCCCGCAACATGTACGAATCCAAACTATAAACATGAAGCACCACTGCAAGTTTCCTCAAACTTTACTTGTTACCTGAACACATCACGAATCTTTCAACTGTTTTGGATGAGAGACAGAAAGAGAGAGAGAGAGAAAAAGAATAAAGTCAATCTGCTGATGGACTGCTGAGCTCACATTTGTGACACACAAGCGTACACACACCCTTCCCAAATACGGCTGTAAATCTCCAGCAAGATGCCAGTGCAGGCAGCCCTCCCCCCCCGTCCAGCAGGCACGGTTTCACAACCGGGAGTCAAATCCATATACGAGCCGACACTCCAAACAGCCAGCGCAGCTCGCTGTAGACAGGACCACATAGCCGGCTAATGAGAGCCGTCGCTCACTATAAACCGTTTGTCGCTCTCTCAAGACATGACTGTATTGATGGCAATGGGGCTCAAAAGAAAAAAAGAGGGGGGGGGGGGATTTGATCTGCTTTGGCGCAGCCGGGTTGTATTAATAACAATCTTCACATTAAATCAACATGACTTCTGAGGACTGGAAGTGTCTCTAGTCTGACTTATGAATGCAGTGGAGGAAAACACACTGCTGCAGAAAGTAGGGCAGTACTCACAGGTAGAGGGATACAACGTTGGAAGCGGCCCGTCCTAAATCTGGTATGGACGTCAGCTCATTGTGATCCAAGCGCCTGTAAGGGACAAACAGTAGGTCAGGAAAAAATAAAAATAAAAACAGGAAGCGTTTAAGCTAAAACAAACCCATTAGATCCACAGAAACATTTGAGTTATCAAGAGCTGAATTTGTAACAAGACTCCAATAAAAAACCCCTCGCTTTTCTCGAGATCACACGGACGCTTTTGAGCCTTTGTGAGTTCGCTGAATTCGATCTGGACATAAATCAAAGCATTTCAAATACTACTTGTCACGTCTGCCGCAGAGCAAGCGGCAGGTCATCCTTGTAAAAACCCAAAAATAACACGGGAGTAAAACAGATGTCCAGGAGCGTATGACTGGTGGTCCGGCCTGCCAGAGATGTCACCAGTGCGTGTATTATCTGGCCAGTGTGTGTGTGTGTGTGTGTGTGTGTGTGTGTGTGTGTGTGTGTGTGTGTGCGTGCTGCGCGCTGGCGCTGAGTGACACGAAGCCAAGCCCCTCTCCTCGCCGTATAAAATATTTACAAGGCCAGTGCTGGCCACAGTATCGGGTGGTGGAGGGAAGGCTTAATATAGAAAACCACCACTTAATTCTTAATTGGACTTAGTTCAAGGCGACACACAGGAGGATGCTGCTGGGAAGCACGCTGACATTGGTCCGCATCGAGTCGTTTACAGCGCAAAAGTCTCAATTTTTCACACTCTGTCACCTTATAGCCACTGGCTTCGACGTTATATTGAACAGAATGCTGTTCAGTATAAGAATCTGAAAAGTATGGAGTGCATTTGTGTTTAATCCCTTTTATCTGTGAAACCCGACAAATCTGGCCTGGAGGAAGTTTCCAATTTGTCCACAAGACAAGCAGAGGACACAATCTTTAGTTGGTGAAACAAGGTGGTGGCAGCATTATGCTGTGGGAATGTTTTCTTTTCTGCTGAGGTTGGAGCTGATAAAGAAAGATGGTTGGTGTGCTTGCTACAAACACACAGAGTAAAACCCATCACTGGCATTTTCTGGATTGTCTAGAACGTTTGAGGCAAGATTTGAAGACAAGCTCAGGCTGAAATGAAAGAATAACTGGATTTTGAAGGAGATGTATAAGAATCTAGAAGTAAAATGTGCATTTGGGAAAGGCTAGAAGCAAGATGGGTGTTTTTATTTTCCAAAAACCAAACAGCTGCCTTTCCTCAAAGTCAGATTATTGTGGAATTAGCCAGACTGTGTCACTGAATATGAATAGTTTGGTGAACAACGAACGCCCTCGTTAACACGTTTGTTAACGTTTGTTATCTTTTGTGCACTCTTCTCTCCAGCTTTGCTCTCAGTACGTTCCACTTCCTAAGCGAAATCATCTCGAGCCACAAAAAGTCCAGTTTGAAGTTTGCCAAAAAGCTGCTAACAAAGCTAACAAGGTAGAAGAAGCTGCCTTGATCAGATGAACTCAAAATGTTAATTTTTCTGATTTTTAATTGCAGAAAATGTTCACCTTGCATCCTTTTCCTTCCGCTTTGAAAGCTATGTAGTACTTTATGTTGGGCTACACATTAAACATGTTGAAGCTGTGAGAAAACTGGAAAAACTTCAAGGGACATAAATGTGACAAAAGCACTAATTTGAGTAATTCGGCTCAATACTTACAGTTCACGTAAGTTAGGAAGATTGGCAAAGGCTTCGGCGCTGAGGGAGGCCAGCTTATTGTGTCCAAGATTTCTGAAACATGGGTGAAAAAAGAGAGAGGTTTTAATACAAAAAGCAGACCACAGCTACATGCGGTATCACATTTTAGCTTAGCAGCTGTTTAAAGCTTTTCTGTCAAACCTATCTTTTCTGGCAAAAGGACTCTGATCAGCTGCAGCAATTACAATTACATCTCCCTATTTGACAAGCAGCTTCATCCGTACGTGTGGAAACACTGCAGTACATAAATCCGGTTGGCCTTCAAGGGAAGGCTTCGGATCGATACTGTCGATGCAGAGTGCCTTTCTCCTGGCTCACTTTCCAAACATGACCCGCGGGCCATCCATCTGCAGCAGTCAATTTGCACTTTAGGCTAACAGCGTATTTAATAGCTGGCACTTGACTTGTAAGGAGGCTTATTAGAGAACGATTTGTCCGCTGATACGGCGAGACTGTCAAACAACAGGTGAAAAAGGCTGCGTTTGACATCCCGACACCTCATGAAGGATGAAACTCTGGTTTAATTCAATTTCTTCTGACCGTTGCACGTTGCCAGGGCTTCTGCAGGTTTCACCGATTCAAGTTTAAGACATTTTCAAGACCATTGGACATGAGATTTAAGCTCTGTATCTCCACAGAAACATGCAAATTTCGTCCAGCCAACTGGACATAAATTTGGACTTGTACGTGATGGACGCAAAACAGCTAGCTAGCTGGATAACAACAGTAAGTTAGCAGCTAGTTACCAGTATCTTCAACCACCTCAAGTCACGTGACACAATGAAGATGATTGTGTGTAACTCAAGCTATTGCCTGACAGAAAAAGTCCCACGAGAAATCCAACTTCTTCCAGCTAACTTGTAAAAAAGTTAACTAGCTAGCTAGCAAGTGTATGTTAGCAGCCAGTAACCGATAAGCTCAACTGCCTGGAGTCGCACAACGCAGTGAAGATGTCTGCATGCGACTCAAAAAAAAAGTTCCAAGAGAAAAGAAAATACATGAGATTAAATAGTCCTGCCAAGACAAATCCTTGTGATTAATATATTAAAATCCAACATACTTTGTTAATGAATTTAAGACATTTTAAGGTTTTAATGTTAGATACATAAGTTTAAGATTTAAGAGTGCGTGGACACCCTGGATATGAGATATAAGAAAATCAGGTGCTGTCACCCAGGTGAGGTGGGGGTTGCCAAGGCGACCGCAGATCCTGTATGGTGAGCAGAACAAGGCTGAAGCCTGAACTTGCAAAGTAAAGTTAACATTGTATATGCAGACTGCATGTTGGCAGAGAGCAGCCCACAGTGAGAGCGGTGTTTGTTTGTGTGTGGCAGTGGGGTTAAGCCGGGTGAGACAAAAGCAGCCCACAGCCGTGTGCCGCTTTCCCTCCGCACAGACGTGACAGACGACAGGAGAGAGTTTCGGAGAGACGGCAGAGAGACCGGGGACACTTTTACCTGATGCAACACATTCCTCGGTCTCTTGTGTCAGCGTGGCCTCAAAAGACCGCAGCAGGAGGCGGAAACGAAGGCAGAAGCTGTTACTTTGTGCCAGACATTTTAGAGAAAGTCGAAGGCGATATTAAGGAAGCTAATGTGTTGCGGGTGGGTTAATAGCAGGGTGCGTGTTGGTTTTTAAAAACAATCTGTCTCAATCATCCTCTGATTTGACAGATTTGCCTTTGTAATCGTCTGTGCTCGCTTGCAGATAATGACAGCTTCTTTGCCCAGTTTTGTTTTGTGTGTGTGAGACGAGATAATAGCAGAGCATGCGTCTGCCCTCGAGGCACGGTACGCAGAAACGCCTGCGTCCCGACGATCGTGTGCTGAGGAACCTCCTATTGTGGGTTAGTTGGCCAAATTGTCATTCCCCCCATCTGCAATAGGGGCCAATTACAGCAGAGCCTAAAAATCTGTGTTCACACAAACGGCCTCTGCCTGGAGGTCCATATAATCAGCCAACGCGTAAACACGCTCGCGCTTTCACAGGGTAAACTACGGAGAGTGATTCATACGCTCCAGGAACAGACAAAAATTTTCTCAACCCAATTTTTGACTAAGAAATGTCGCAAAGCTTCTCGTCTAACGTATCAACTCTCTCACGACTGAAGTTTGAAACAAAAACAAGTGCGCAACAAACAAAAGGGTGACTCACAGAAACAAAAAGAGAAGCATGTTTGAGAGCTAAACCTGTCATGCAGGTGCCAAAGGCCACGGCAACAAACGAAACTAGTCTTTTGTGTCGGTACACAGGCATGCGTGTGCCTTTCTCTGAGCCACCTGTGGTGTTTACACAACATAGGCTTTTTTCCCCTCCACTTGTTTCAGACAGATTTATTCTCTTACCTATCAGATCAGATAAGTTTCACAGTGTTTTAACACCTACTGTGGCAGGAGATGGTGATAAGGCCGGCTTTCCTGCCTCAACGACTCCCCCCCTTAACTCCCCCTTTCTCCCTCTTGAGGAAAAAAGAGGGAGGGTAAGTTAATGCTTTCCAGAAAGTGACCTTAAACCCTTGGAGGCCGTTTTGTGGAAGAAACTGCTGTGACGGAATCAGAGCTACTGGCTGATTAGCAAGTGGAGATAGATGTCGACAAAAACAAACTAAATCTCAGGAAAAATAATTGCTACATTATCCTTTCGGATTCTAAGGTTTATCCACCAGGAATCTCTGCCACGTAATCGAAAAATGCCGCGTTGAATTTCGCGGTACCGCTTTTTTATTAAGCAAGACTAACTGGATCTGACCTGGAACCAAAATCTGTTTTTCCCCACTGTTTTCAAGACTTTTGTACCGTCTGCCGGTATGATCTATTATTATTTTTGAACAAACTGTTGGCAATCAATCAGCCAAAGGTCAACATAGCTTGTCTCCCGTCAGCAGAAGGTCCAGAGATCTGATATAAGAAGAGTAAAGGCTCATCCGGGATAAAGGAGCCCCATTCCCAATCTCATCGATCAAATCCCACTCAGCTCGCTGAACTCAACTCCAGGAGAAAAAAATAATTGCCTTCACTACACCACAAATCCAATCACATTTCTAAATATTCTGTCAAATTTGGGCAATTTGTCTGTGAATCCATTCTTGGCTTTTCCAACCCTGTTGGCCTCAGCAATATTCTCGCACTCATCTCTGGGGACCCCAAGGTGTTCCTACACTATGAATATATAGTCCATCTAGCAAGTTCTGGGTTTCTCCTCACAGTAGGAGATATCTAGAAAGCATCAGAGGAACTTGTCTGCCCTTTTCAGATGCCAGAACTTTCTCTATTGACTCCTTTCAGAGTGGAAGAGCAGCAGATCTATTCTTAGTTACCAGATAATTCCTCTAAAGGTGCAAAGGCAAAGTTTTATGTCAGCGTCAAACTTTGCCTTTGCATCTTCTGTGTTGCATATTAGTAAATTGCTTGTCGGGAAACTGTATTCACATCAAACTGTTTTGTACGCAACACCAAACTGATTAGGTCGAGAGTTGGCACAACGGTCAACGAGAGTACGTTGGATGCCCTGGTGGAGAAGAAAGAGGACTAGACGCCAAACTGGCTCAGCAAACTTGCTAGTATCAGTTTGTTTTGTGGGAGACAAAGCAATTTGTCCCGAGAAAAGTGGGCAATCAGAACACTTTATGAATCCCAGTCATCCGCTGAATCCCCCCAGAAGTACACCCGAGAATGTTGGAGCCTTAAGGCTACCTTATGGTTTACTGCAGACAGCATGCTAATCTGCCAGTCTCTCCACTGTGAACAAGGCATTACAGGGTAACGTTGAGAGGGTTGTAGTGCATTACGTTAACATACGCGTCAACTGGGACCTTTAAACACACATTGATGCGTCGCAATAAGGTGAATTGAACAAGTGAGGAAGGGATGACAGCGCAACTTCGCCACTGGTATGAGTTTAGAGGAATGTAACTGGACCAGATCCCTCATTACTGGAGGGGAGGCCACAGTTCATCCCATTGTACTCCCATTGGGACACAACTTGTACACCTCTGGGTCGAAGCCCTGCTACATTGGTTGAAAGTTAACATTTAACACCAGGCACCATTCTTCAATCCCGACCAAGTTGAAATAAACTTCTACTAAAGTCAAATTACGAAGCTCATAAAACCCACATCCTGCTGAGTGACTTTCTTTGAAAGAGAAGTAGATCTCAGCCTGCAGCGGACGTTTCAACACTGGACCATTCTGCTGATGTCACAACGAAAACTCATTAAGAGGCTTGAAGAGAAAAAAGAAATAGCTGTGGTCCGGCTGCTGCGGTCATACAGTAGGAGTACCAGTGGTGAAGTCACAACATATGACACCATGCTTGTAAGTCAGCGGACAGTCTGTTTGCAGGAGGACGTGGGGAGTGAGGGAGCGGGGACACTCGCACATAACAGGCATGCATCACCATTATCTCTCCCGTTTCTTCAGCAGATAAGCGGGGAGTGAACTTTGCTCGCTGAAAGTGTGAAGTGATGTCAGTGATGAGTCGAATGCGGGTCCCCGCTGCGAGACAAAAGCCCTTTAATGTGCTCCATTTCGGAGCACCATAAAGCTGGTCAAAGAATAACCTGCGCGTCAGAGAGCCAGACGCACACAAACGCACCGCTCTTCCCGTCATTAAGGGGCCGCTTTATGGCTCAACAACTGCAGTGAGAGTGTACACAAAGCTAACACCCGCTCCAATTTACACACAAGTCGTGCAGCGAGGGAGCGGAAGGAGGATGGTCTCTTATCAGCTTAGATGAGCATATGCCAGCCGAAAACATTTGCTATAATAAAGATAAATCTGATGAGCTAAATTTTGGTCAAAACACTAATAGGCGTAAAAATCCTGGAAAAGCAATAAGAGATCATATTTAACAAACACATTCCCCACCCCAACAATACACCAAACAACGAAGCAGAGAGAGGCTTTGAAAATCAGTCGGCCTGGAAGGTTTGGCTCCGATTCTGAAGGTGGCCCACATCTTGGAGCCACGTGTTCTTCCTTGCTGCTGCTTTGGGGGAATATGGGGGAGCAGGAGATGGGAGGAGACAGCACTC